ACCACTAAGTGAAAATATGTAAACTCTTAATGGTTACTTTAAAATCTTACCCTCTAATAGTCTCCTCCCACTTATAGTTGGGTTTTTTATTCCACTTGGAATTCAAAAATGGGATGAAACTAAACTTGAATCCTCTTTTTACCTACCTAAAACATTTATGACCAAAGGTTTAATCAAGATTTCACTCATATATAACTTGCTCATTATGTTTACTAAGGCAAAAAGATCCCAAGGTCCATTTCTTAATTATTTAAATGAACGAGTAGGATCTAACTAACTTTGATCAAGGTCGATTTTAGTTTAGTGAATCTCATAAGGAGAACTAAGGTGAAACACGCACAAAAATGGGAATTGTGGTGAACATCAATTATCTATCATAACAATGACAACTTTTTGAAAAGGTTATAGTTTCATGAGTGTTTATTCGAAGCAAAATCCATTGGGACACCACTAATCCCTCCATAGGTCATGACGTAAATGGATGCAATTATTTGTGTTGTGATGTGTGTGAATGAGCATTACTCTATATCAAATCATAAAAAACATAAAAAAGATATGTTGAAAAAAATAAAGTGCAAATAAAGGCGATATCAAATGCAAACAATCATACAAAAGCACATATATCACATAGCCAAAGCACAAAAAGTAGTTAGTGCATACAAGCAAATAGAGGCAAACAAATAATCTAAAAACTAAACAAATAGGTATATAAATTCATCATATAATTAGGTGTAATGCTCATGAAAATGCATGCAAAACTTAACTCTTGACTCCTTAGTGGAGTTGTCAATCTGCCATATGTGGATATCGAATGATGAGCTTAAATTAAGAAAAAGATAGAAAAATGAGTCACCTAGTATTGAAAGTAACCTATGAAACCTAACTACTTATTCTTATAGAGATCATAGGTAAGGGATTAGTTACATGAAGGGAAGATAACGATCACCCCTTAATATCCTACATAAGATAGGCTATATTACATGCTATTCTAAGCATTTATTTTATAGTTTTATTATGTTAAATTATCTACGTCTATTTAGGTATGCTTGGTCATCATGTAAAAAACTAATTAATCCTAAAAGTTAAGCAATTTGGGATTTGGTCAACCAAAGACCTTATCCTCCCTTCGAAGTAAATAGGCACTCGAAAAAAATATAGGATAAAACCATATTAAATCATCAAATGAACTTGAAAGCGCTTATCCACACATAAAATTCATAAAAAGAAAACTCATTGAAATTTTGATCAAATGCGTGAAATAAAAATCCACAATTTCGATTAAAATATGTGAAATGAAAGCCGACATATAAATGTGTAAAATAAAAACCCAACAGCTTTTTTAAATACAATGAATGAACACCTATGCATTAATGCGTGAAATGAAAACATACACCTTCACTTATAACATATGAAATAAAAACTCATGACTTTTCTTATAGTACGTGAAATGAAAACTCACATCCGAATGCGTGAAATAAAAACCCATGATTTTTCTTATAATGCAAGAATAAAAATCACAAACTTCAATTATAATGCATGAAATGAAAACTCATGACTTTACTTATAATGCATGAAATAAAAACCCATAATTTCACTTACAATGTGCGAAATGAAAACTCACACATAGATGCGACAATATCATAATAAAATTATTTTTTAACAAGTTTGTCAATCCATGAAGAAAAAACAACCAATAATAGTGTTACAAAAATTATTTCACATGAACCATTCAAATAAAGTGAGAATAGCGTCCTAAAAATCATTTCACTTGAATTAGTAAAAAATGAATGAAAATTGATCGACATCTACGCCATACAATCATTTCAAATAAATTATTGGAAAACTAAAAATCGACTAACATTGACACCACAAAATCAATTTACATAAGTCATTCAAGAACAAATAAATATTAGTCGACATTGGCTTCAAAAAATCATTTCACATGAATTATTTGAAAATAAATTAAAAAAATCAATAGAGACCATCACCGTACCATCATTTCATAAAAATTGTTTGAAAACAAACAAACATTGGCCAACATCAACACCATAAAAACATTTCACATGAGTTGTTTGCGAACAAACAAAAATTGATAGACATTGGCACCACAAAATCATTTCACATAAGTCATTTGAAAACAAATGAAAATAAATCAACGTTGGCACCAAAAAATTATTTAAAAAAAAACATTCGAAAATAAATGAAAATCAGAGTAGGGTAGTATGGATTTTTTTAATTTCTTTTTCTTTTTTTACTCATTTTTTTTCGATTTTATGCACCAATTTTTTTTCCTCTTCACTCATTTTTTTATATTTGATTATTTTTATTTGAGACTTATGAAAATCATGAAACTTCATTAAAAATGCTTAAATTTTGAAAATTAGATAAATTGAATAAAATGTTTAACCTTCTATGCTTTTTAGATTTTGGTGGAAAATTTTGTAGAAATAAAGGATCAAAATCCGATTGTGATAATCATCACATCCTTCTATAGGTTGGTGTTAATAACGCCATTAAAAAATGACATGTGTCATGTTCCTACAATATGAAATTTTCATTGATATATCATTGGTAATTAAGAATATTTGTTTTCGTCTATTTGTTATATTAATGAAGTTAATTGTGAGGAAACATAACTCATTCACTCCTAATAACATGACAAGTGTCATATATGATTGAGATCTTAATAGAGGAATTCAATCAAAACAATCCAAAAAAATATTATATTTCAATTAAAAAAATTCAAATAGTGTATAGACCAAATTATTTTTAAAATTTTCATGTTATTGTTTTTAAACCTCATAATAAATGCATGGAATTTGTTGGACGTAAGATCCCATTAATTACAGTTAAATTCTGAAATGTTTTTTTTTTTCTAATATTGTATGATAAGTTAAAAATATTACGTAAAAAAAGAAGAAAAAAGAACCTAATATGTAATTATTAAAACAAAATTATGATGATGTGCAATATCGATTACTTATAGATTCCTAGATAATGGATCAAATGCTCTATAAAAAAGTTTTTTTTTTTTAATATTTGACCAATTTAAAGTGAAAAATAGGATTGCTCTCTTTAAAAAAAAAGAAAAGAAAAGAAAAGAAACTTTGGATTGCACCATTATATATAGGGGGAGAGAGAGAGAGAGAGGTTAATATTCTTATTATTTTCATTTTAATTTTGATGAATACATTCGTACTTTATTTATTTTTTAATTGCATGTGAGGTTCATTTTATATGTATTTTATTATTTTTAAATTATTATAATATTTTTTTTAAAAAAACTCTTCATAATTTTATTGTGATAGGATCTCACATATATAACACGTTTCACAACATTTAAGATGATGTATTTAAAACACAATAACATGAAAATTAAAAAAAATTGATCATTGCACTATTTGAATTGTTTTGATTAAAGTCTTATACTTTTTCAATTATTTTGACCAAATCCTTCTATTGAAGTTTAATGTACAACATATGTTATGTTTTCAAGAATAGACATGTCATGTTAGCACCACATTAATTCACAACCAACGGCATTATAACCGAGGGACAAAAAGAAACAAAATATAAAATAAAAAGACTCAATTAAAAAAAAATCTTAATCAAAATAATTCAAACAGCACACACACATGTATATTTTTTATTTCAAGGGTCTTTGAAGGATACGTGGAAAGAGATCCTCTAATTCTATAATATTTTCTAAAACACTCCTTTCCTCAACTTCATTTAAAAAAGTTTTGGATTTAATGACAATGTTACCCCTCTCTTCCATCTTAAATGTCAATATTATCCCTTAGAATTCCTCCACACGCACTCCACCACTAGACCACGAACCATTTGTTAATCTCAATGCTTTATTTTATTTATTTAATCCAGGATTCATGGACCACGAGATATTTGTTTAATTTAATGCCCTATTTCTTTACAGAGGATGTCACAATACATTATGCAATAAATAAAAATGCTTCATTTTTAACAAAACGTACATAGCAAAATATAATACTCCTTAAACAATAATCTTATATTACTACTTAAAAGCAATTTAATTATATTTTTAATACAATTACCATATTCATTCTTTCAATTGGAGTAAACAAATAAAGTATTGCAATATTAATACTATAAAATATTCATATTTATTATCTTAATTGGAATATAAAATAAAGAAAATACTTTAATTTTTTCAATGCTCTATTTATATTGGTTACAAAAAAAAAAAAAAACTTCAATTATAAACATAAAATAAATATTAAAGACAAATAATTTTCTTAATTGTTATTTGAAATGTAATTGTCTAAAAAATATATATATTTTAAAGTAAGGATGTTTTTGAATTAGATTTCGCATGTATTGGGACTAATCTCTCATTGTATGTAGTTAAGAGAGACTCTCCAACATACGATCTCGTATATTTTGAGAATAAATTCTTAAGAGTATTAGTCATAAAAATCAAATTCTAAACTTTATCTACCACTCAACGTTTTCTTACGAATGAACTATCATCTTGTGGTTAAGATATAATATTTTTGTTATGTATTATATTTTATTTTAAGGATTTATATTTTGTTGACTATGGATAAGGTATTTGTTGCAAAATATACGGTTGATTTTTGGTTTTATAAACATATATGGCATTGAGATTAACCAACGGTTTGTGGTTTGGTGGAGCGAAAGAAACATTGCTTTTTAAAGTTGAGGGTTGGGAGTCCCACAATTAAAGTCAAATATTAAATTATTTTTCAACGATCATAGCGCACCCTATTATTTGTTGATAAATGAATCGAACAGAAAGCCACCCTGCAGCCCGGCCCATGCCCAAAAGTTGCAGCCTTAAAGCCACGATTTTACGCACATAGAAGAGAACATCTTTCAGTAGCGGCGGCGATGGGTTGTTTTCACACTCCCATCGTTGCCCGTTCATGAAACCCAAATCCATCTTCTCTCCACAAAACCCTTCTCTTAAATCTCTCTTTTCAACACCACTAAAGTCCCTCATGGCCACTTCTCTAGACCTAAACAACGACTTTCTCTGCTCCAATCCCCAACAACAACAACAGACAGAACCCCAAGAAAATTCTTCTCCTTCTTTTACAGAAACGGTGTTGCTTGGTTCGCCGAGCGGGTCCCTGAGCGGAGAGGCTCGTGTGGAGCGTGCATGGGCTCATTGGAGTAAACTGGGTCGGCCCAAGTTGATTGTGGCTCCCATGGTGGATAATTCGGAGCTGCCGTTTAGAATGCTTTGCAGGAAGTATGGAGCTGAGGCTGCTTATACTCCGATGTTGCATTCCAGGATATTTAGTGAGAATGACAAGTATAGAAGAGAGGAATTCACCACTTGTAAGGTAAGCTAACTTTTAAAACTTAATTTTTATATTCTAAGCAAAACTATCTGTTTAGCCCTTGTCAGAGAATTGCTTATTTTAACTACTCGTTATTATACTTTGTATTGTATTGCTTATCTGACTTGAGAGTGTTAAGTAATCCCGAAATCTGTTGAGCTGTATTAAGATAAGGGACCTTATGTTTTAAATTTCATGCTGCAATGGAACGTTAAGTGAAAAGAAATGATAAGTTGGAAATAAAATTTGATGTGTTTGAGTTCAAATGGTTGGATGTTAACCTTTGTATAGTTCGATTCTTGATTGGATGCAATCCATTAGATTAGGTTTCTTGTGGAAAGAACTAAACATGTATGCAAATAATGCAATGGATTGGTTCCATTAGCTTATGGAGGTTATTTTGGGTACATGAGTAAATGCTTTTACTGATTATTCTTATTTCAGGGTAGGGTTTTTCTGTGATAATATCGCAAACAAGTAAAATCCAAGTAGATTGGGTGTTAAAGAATAGTCCCTTTATAGGGTTATTTCTTTAATTTTACTGAATAGGGAGTTTGCTAGAACTCAAGTTTAATTACTAAGATTTTTATGAATAGTTAATGATTAAATTATTTTCTTAATAGTTTAGGAGTTCTCTATCCTTCTTCTAGTATTAGTTGGTTTTCCTTCTTAGAGTAGGAGTTCTCTGAAGTCTATAAATACAAGCATTGTAATAGCTTCAGAAGATAGTTATTTTTAGGATAAAATTCTTCTCCAGTTGGTTCCATTCAAGTTTCTCTCATTCTTCTATGTGAGACTTGTAGAAGGATTTGGTGAGACTTTATTTCCTGCATAATCAGCCCCTTTTTCAGTCCCACAACTGTTCCTTTCCTGGCCTAAATTCTACCCCATATACATCTAAATTCAAGACCGAAACTTCCTGGGTCCTAATTCCTAGAGTAACACACCTATGCTGAACCTGAAATAACTCTTAAACTCTAATTTAATGGCTGTCCTTCATCAGCTAGTTTAGCAAGGATGAGTAGGCAAGTTTAGTGGGATAGAATGTACATGGCTGGTGTGTAGTTAGTTTAGCATGCAAGTGTGCATGTGAGGTATTCCTAGGTGATTGGCTGATAGCACTGGGAAATATCCATTGGTGATGTAAGCATGATGCATGGAAGTTTCTGGAGGTGGTGTGTTTACCAATGAGTTAATGTTGGCATTGATGTGGTTTGAATGTTGGCTTAGAATGTTGGATTTTCTCTCTAACAATGACATGACCACGTTTGTGTCAATATTACATCCTTAGGAATCATATACAACCACCATCCCTTTTAACATTTTGCATCGGGACTTCTCTGGGATCATACTTTGCTTGCCAATAAATCTCCATCTATCTTTCATTTGAAGGATCTATTCACACTTGCATCCTTCTCCCTTCTTCTGCCACATGCATTCCATCGTATTGAGATTGAAAACTCTTCTAACACCTCTCTCTATTCACACACTTACTTGTGGACCTCACTCCTCATATGTGATGTAGAACTGAAGGACAAAAGAGCCAAAAAGAAAGCTAATCCCGAATAGAAACCAAAATCACCAACAAGAGAGACTCGCTGGATCTTGAAGGGACCAAACCAAGAGAAATACACTCGATTTTTGGGGAATCAACACAAGAGAGATACGCTCGACGTTGGAAGAAAATTCAATGTCGTTATTTCAATCAATAATAGTACACTCAAAATAACTAATGTCTAGGTGCTTATTTATATGCACCAAACCAAACCAAAAAGGAAAACCTAATAACTCTTAAATCAACAAGGAAACTAAAATCCTAATTGAACTAATAATTAATAAATACTAATATTCCTAAATAATTAAATCTAGGATAATCATACAATATTAAAATTTCTAAATAAATAAATATCAATTCTTATTGTTGCCCTTTATCCTCCATCGATATGCTTTGAAGTGCCCCTCATCTATGCCAATTAATTAACTGTTCATGATCATCTTCCATTTCTGACATAGTGTGGGAAGAGGAAAACAGAAATTACAGCAGTTTTATGTCTACATCCAGAAGGAAATTGAAGTTGAAACAAGATGATAGGGTTTAGGGTTCATAAGAAACCTTTAGAATCTGAATAGATTGATAAAAACAAAGAACGTCCATAAAAATAACAAAGCAGCCTATTTATACTAGTTAAAACCCTAATACTAATACTTGCTGGAAAAGAAATCTCTAATAAAAGTCACATGCTCATCACATGACAACTAAAGAGTCCAAATAGTGCAAGGATTCTAAATTAAGAAAGAAGACCTGAACTAATTAGAAAATTATTAGAAAGCAACTGCGTTAATTTGTTATTTGCATGGTCCTTAATTTTGAGATCCTAATGTTTGTGTCGATGAGAGGGAATAAATCCAATTATAATTTTGATTTAATCACTGCAAGTTTTGGAGCACAAAGGTGCAGCTGGGGGATATGTTGCTTAATATGTTTTTTTTATTTGTCATATTTATTTTAACTTTGAGAATAATTGCAGGAAGATCGCCCATTATTTGTCCAATTTTGCGCCAATGATCCAGATGTTTTATTGGAAGCAGCACGGAGGGTGGAACCTTATTGTGATTATGTGGATATCAATCTAGGGTAATATTATTAAGGAATCATCTACTTCAATTTCTTTTTCGTCATCTTTACTTGGTGCTTGTTTGTAATACATGCGCTTTCCCATGTTGTTAAGATGATATAAGTATCCATTTTGAAACATCTGCCCTGAAGCTTACTAGCAGGACATGTTGCTCTTTCCATAATTTGTGTACCATTTTTTAATATTTTAAATAATTAAAAAATATAAGCATAAAATAAAAATTAATTAACACTAACTATGAAAATTTGTTTAATTTAATATGTAAAACCAGACCAACTCAAAAAAAAAGAAAAATGCAAGAACCGTTTTGTAACACTAATTTACATCAGAGACTGTTTTATGTAAATAATAACTTAGAAGACCAAACTATAATAAGTTGGTCAGATTAACAAAAAATCTTTTTTTTTTTTTTGGGGGGGAGAAATGACTCAGTTTTTGGTTTTACTGTAGCAGGGCAGTGAAACCCCATTTAGTTTTAGTTCTTTTATAATGTCTCTGATTCTCATGGAAGTTTTTGTTAGATTAAAGATATTTCTGGCTTCATAGAGCTTTGGAATGAAATAAATTGTTGGTTTTGTTTAGTTGGTATACTAATCTTGTTGGTGCCTGGCTCTCAAGATCTATCCTATTCTTCAATGGTGCCAATAAAAAGAATCTCGTTGAGCTCCAACTTAGAATGATGTTGAAATGAAATCATTATGATTGTAATGAAACATAACCTTTTGTTGAAATATTATGTAATATAAAATGATGAAGCCGTTTTCTTTTCATTAATAGGTTAAAAGTAAACATGCTGAAGTGGTTAAATGGCTGGGGGCAGTGAACTTTAGAATCTTAAATCAAACACTTTTAAGGCAGTTCAAGAGTACATAGAGAACCCATGTATTCCCACCCATAAGAAGTGGTTTATATACAGGTTTTCTTGAAACAACAGTGGCATTAAAGAGAAGAAACTTTCTTTTCAATTCTTACACTCAATCCCATTAATATTAGGTTGAATTTGAAACATCGAAAGAGCAACAGAAACAAAAAAATTCTACTTCTGACAGGCTGAAAGTTGAACAAGACATTGGGACGAAATCTATGAAACTTATTCCTGGCTATGTTACATCTTTCAAGCCTATAAGGGAGCTTCTGCCAGCACAGATGCTTCCCCTGCTGCAGATATTTAGAATTATCTTAGTCACATCGCCAGTATTGTGTTTTCAGCAATCTAATGACAGGATTAGTTTAGTCACTCCTGATTGATGACAATTCTGGTGATGGGATTTGTGCAGGTGTCCACAGCGGATTGCCAGGCGAGGTTACTATGGAGCTTTCCTGATGGATAATCTTCCACTTGTGAAATCTTTAGTTGAAAAATTGGTTCTCAATCTTCATGTCCCCGTGTCATGCAAAATCCGGGTCTTCCCCAAATTAGAAGACACTATTAATTATGCTAGAATGCTAGAGGAAGCTGGCTGCTCGCTTTTAGCTGTCCATGGCAGAACAAGAGATGAGAAAGATGGAAGGAAATTCCGGGCTGACTGGAAGGCCATCAAGGCTGTAAAAAGTGCTCTCAGAATCCCAGTTCTCGCTAATGGGAACATACGGCACATGAATGATGTCAAGAACTGTTTGGAAGAGACTAGTGCTGATGGTGTGCTTTCAGCTGAGACCCTCCTTGAGAATCCGGCTCTCTTTGCTGGATTTCGGACTGCAGAATGGGCAGCTGATGGAGAAGAAAGCAACAAAGACGGAACGCTGGACCAGGCAGATTTATTAGTGGAGTATTTGAAACTTTGTGAAAAGTACCCTGTGCCATGGAGGATGATCCGTTCTCACGTGCACAAGATGCTGGGAGAGTGGTTCAGAATTCATCCTCAAGTAAGAGAAGATCTGAACGCACAATCCAGACTGACCTTTGAATTTCTATATGATATGGTTAATCGACTAAGAGAGCTGGGTGCGAGGATTCCACTTTATATGAAGGAAAATGATAGTCATTTACCTTAGTCTCTGCAGACGGTTTGGCCAATTGAAGCATTGTCATACAAGTTAATCGGGTTGCAGGTGCTTCTTGTTCATGCTTATAGCAATATGAGAACAAACAGGGTATCATTAACTTATACAGAGATTGTGTTGTCTTTAGATTTGTGCTAAATTTCTGGATGCTAATTAAGCTAACTCATTTGTCGAGGAGAGGGGTATAGAAGGGCATTCCAGCAGTCAAAAATTGGCAACCCACATTTACACTGGATAATTTTGTTTCCACAGTAGTTAATTGTAGGTAAGTATATTAATTCCTCCTTTAGTCTTGAATCTTGTTTTTTAGTTTATTTTTATTCTTTAAAGCATTGTTTCGCATACCAGGGAGATGTATCAATAGATGAGAAAAGGTAAACTATTATTTCTCCTTCTTTGACAATAGACTGAAATCACTTAATGTATTGTTGATGCGATTGCAAAGCTCGCTCTTGTTGAATGAAGTGTATTCTGTAATTGTCTAGTTTGCCTCTGGCAGGACTCATTTTAGTAAAGCTTTGTATCTTATTCAATGTACTCTAATATTTTTCAGGTCCACTTTTCTTTTGATCCATATTCTTGTGATATCAAATTTATGCCATGTTTCAGTGCTACAGAATTGTTCGTCGTTGTTCCCCGCATGCTGAGATTTGAACATGAGAAACACCTTCGAAGAGCTATTTTGAGTTAATTTATATTTGCCTCCCCACATGAATCTAGTTTCTCTGATTTTAATAATGTCCTCTTGAAGTTTACAGGGAAGTTCTTACACTCTTGAAATTTAATTAAATAAAACTCTCTTAAAATAATAATTTTATGAGGTCAAATTTTTTATTTGCATTTAAGAACGTAAATGATGCTGTATATGTCGTTTATATTTATAAATATAAATAGAAAAATGTAATGCAATCAATATTAAAATGTAGAGAGTTTATAGAGCTCATTAAAAAATTAAATATATATATTTTTAAAAAAAAAACTAAATCATTATTTGTAAAATAACATTAGACTATTATTTCTATTAAGAAAATATAAATTTTTATTTAATCAAATAGAATTTATAAATGTATTTTTAATCTCATAAAACCTAAACATGGAGCTCATTAAGAAACAAATAAAAAATTGGGCATTAAGATAAATAACAAGAGTATCAATTTATGGAACTCATTAACTAATACGAGTCTACCGTACTTTTCTTTCAAAATATGACTAGCAAAGTAGTGCAAGTGTGGATTGATTGTAATGCATATTTTTAATTTATAATTTTTTTTAAAAAAATTACAATCCTTTAATTTGATTACTCAAACACTACATCACGTTCTTAATGTCAACATTAATTGGTTTTATCAAATATTTTGTTGGTTTGTTGACTAATGAGTATAGGGTTTTTTAATATATGGATTATATACTTCTCAAATTTTTTGATCGAGACTTTCTAATTTTTTTATAATTTTTTGTTTGATTCTTTCTGTTATGACATAACCTACTTTAACCTAACGTAACACATTCCTATTAGAGTTCATCAATCAGTAATTGGCACGTAACATTATGTTGGTCTCAGAAAATAATAAATCTGTCACAATTAGAAAAAAGATAAAAAAAAAATTAATAATAAAATAATAGATAAATAAATGTAAAATTATCAAAAACCCCACCCCGATATTTCCCAACCAACTGTTTTGGCTTCATTTTTTTTATCTGTAATGCTACTGTTTCTCTCTCTCTCTCTCTCCCTCTTCTCACTGTCAAAATCCCTAAATCGATAGAATTGTTTTTAGCTTTATTTTGTTTTGCTAACAATTTGAACCAAATTGTAAATCCTCTAAAATATATCTGTGTAATACTCGCATGTCATGCATGAATGATCAAAATTAGATGATGGCAACTGCAATTTCTTTGGACAATTTTTTTCGAACAATTTCTTCGAATTTAATTTTTAATTTTGTTTTTAAGTCATGCCAGGAGGGAAATTTGCACGTTTCAATCACCGATCGGTGAACTTTAACAGTAACGTGTTACTTTGATTTAAGAATAAATAATGCCATTATAAAAGAGTAAGGTGTTCATTAAACTTGAATTTATTGAGTTTTTTTGTAGGATAGGATTGATTTTTTTTGAATTCAAGTTAGTTGTGTTTTTTCTAGATTTCAAACTTGATGAAAGTTATAAAAAGATTTGCGATTACAATTGGCAATGGATATTATAATTTGAAGGTATTCCTACTTGTTTGTTTTTAACCCATCTATAAGGAGAGTGTTAAAAAAATGTTTTTATTCTTCGGAGCAGACTTTCGATTTTCACCTTTAAAAAACACTTTATCCTCTTTTGTGTGGCACTAAATATGATACTATTAGTGGGTTTAAATGTGTTTGGTTTTTAAAATCAATCATATGATAGACATGATTCAATATCGATGATGCCGAAAGAATAATAAATTTAGTTTCGATTGATTTTATTGAACTCCAACTACATTTAAACATAAAATAAAATAATAAAAAATTATTTTACTAGCATTAAAAGTTGGTGACAATGGACATGTGCACCCATCAGTATGAATGATACAATAGGTTTAAGTTCATGTGTTATTGTTTAACAAATACATCATCTCATCACTAAAAATTTGAGAACTGAACTTCGGTTAGCCCAAAAAATGCAGCACAGGTCAAAATTATAAGGAAGTGAATCAGCCTATCTGTTTATATATATATATAAAAGGAAAGTGAAGTGGCTAAATAGGTAACAAACTCAAAACAATAATCTTTAAGGGGTTAATTTTTATAGGAGTCTCTCTATTTTTTTTTCTTTTTGCCATATCCATTTAATTTAATTTTTTTAATCTTAAATTGGTCTTTTTATATTTGGTTTTTGTCTAAAATTTTGTCCTTATGTTAACTTTTTAAATTACACCACTAGCCTCACAAGATCACTACACATGTCAACTTTTTTTTTTTTTTTTTTTCATCTCAATCTTGTCACTTTACTCTATTTTTATACTAAATATAAATAAATAAATTTTAAAAATTAAAAAAAATAAAAAACAAAGAAAAAAGTAAAGATATATCTAATCATTCTCTCTAAAAAAGAAATGAAGATTAAATTTTTTTAATCCAAAATATCATTTATGGTTTTAAATTTATTTCAACGATAGTAAGCAAGTTTTGACTATAAGATAAAATATTTATAGTATTTTTATAAATACAAAGAGAGTTTTAGTTACATTTAAAACCATAATTTTTTTTTATTCAAAATATCATTAATGGTTTTAAATTTATTCAATGACAATAAGTAAATTTTGAGTATAAAATAAAATATTTATAGTATTAAAAAAAATACAAAAGAGAGAATGTTATTTATAATTTTATAATGCCTCGAAGAGTCTATTATATTTTGATGTTATAAATTTCTTAATTTGACTTAGAAGTGGAAATATAAATTTTGTTTTAAATTTTGAATGATATTTTTTTTCTAGTTTTTAGAAAAAAGGATCGGATATATCTTTATTTTTTTATTTTTTCAAATTTTATTTATTTAAATTTAATTAAAAAAAGAATATATGCACGAAATTAAGATGGGAAAAAAATTGACACGTGTTGTAATCTTGTAGAGCTGATGGTGTGATTTAATACCGTTAGTATAAAAAATTAACGGAGAGATGAGATTAAGATAAAAATTAAATATAAAAAGACGAATTTAAAAAAAAAAAAAAAGAAAGATTTGATAAAGAGAAAGGAAAGAATAGAGATTGATCTATCACCAAGGTTGGCAAAGGAAGTGTACGGAGGAGATGGTGGGTCTTACTATGCATGGTGCCCATCTGAGTTAGCAATGTTAAGAGAAGGGAACATAGGTGCAGCCAAGCTTGCCCTTGAGAAGAATGGCTTTGCTCTTCCTCGTTACTCTGATTCTGCCAAGGTTGCATATGTTCTTCAAGGTATATTAATAATTCTCCTATTGCTTTGTCCCTTTCAAGATCTTCATGTTTTTCTTCTTCTTTTTCCCCTTTCTTCAAGGTTTTTTCCTTTTTTTTTTTTTAATGGAATTTAAAGGATTGGGGTATAAATTCAATTTGATTTTAAAGAATAAAAGGAAAGAAATATACTGTGCTGCATATACTGATGTCAAAATAACAACTGAAGAAGAATAACTCAATGAATAAGAAGTTCTTCTCTGGATGAGCTATTTAATTTGTTTAGCACCTTGTAGATATTATTTATTTTTATCTTTTTAATTACTGGTGTTTTTCTCTCACCTTTTATTCATTTTGCCGTTCTTTAATTTGCAGGAAATGGAGTAGCTGGGATTGTTCTTCCTGAGAAGGAAGAGAAGATTGTTGCCCTTAAGAAGGGTGATGCTATTGCCCTTCCTTTTGGCGTTGTTACATGGTGGTATAACAAAGAGGATACTGAACTAGTTGTTCTTTTATTGGGTGACACCTCTAAAGCCCACAAATTTGGTGAATTTACTGATTTCTTTTTGGCTGGCTCCAATGCCATTTTCACCGGCTTCTCTATCGAATTTGTGAGCCGAGCATGGGATGTAGATGAGGAGGCTGTGAAGTCCCTTGTTGGAAACCAGACGGCCAAAGGCATCGTCAAGCTTGATGAATCTTTTAAGATGCCTGAACCAAAGGAAGAACACCGCGAGGGATTTGTATACAACTGTGAGGAAGCTCCACTGGATGTTGATATTAAGGATGGTGGAAAGGTGGTTGTTTTGAATACCAAGAACCTTCCTTTGGTTGCTGAGGTTGGGCTTGGTACTGATCTTGTAAGATTGGATGGGGGTGCCATGTGCTCGCCTGGTTTTTCATGTGACTCGGCATTACAAGTGACATACATTGTCAGTGGCAGTGGCAGAGTTCAAGTTGTTGGTGTTGATGGTCGCAGGGTCTTGGAAACTACTGTCAAGGCTGGTAATTTATTCATTATTCCAAGGTTCTTTGTTGTTTCAAAGATATGTGATCCTGACGGGATGGCATGGTTCTCCATCATCACCACTCCTAAGTAAGTTTTGCTCATGTTCTTCATGTTTGAATTATCACACATTCACACTTCCATATTTATGCATGTTTATAGTTTTTTCTGTAGACACCATAATTTTAAATAACGATTGATATGTTATATAACGACTGTTATGTAACGTTTTCGGAGCATGCCGTTATTATTATTTTAGTATTATAGTAAATCGTGATCTGTGATAATGACTGCGATCGTTTTTTCAATCGTCCGTAATTTATAACTATGATAGACACATTACAAATCTATGCATTATCACTTGCAGCCCCATATTCACTCACTTGGCTGGAAGGACTTCAGTGTGGAAGGCTTTATCTCCTCAAGTGCTGGAAGCATCTTTGAAGGTCTCTCCTAATGTTGAACAGCTTTTCCGCTCCAAGAGAATGAATGAGGAAATTTTCTTTCCACCTCCAAAGTGAGGAAACATAGCTTCATTTTCACTCCACTCTAACCCAGTCATGCCAATAAGAATTTGTAAAATTCGCTCCTTCATCACTTGATATAGGCAATTGTTATGCCTCTAATTTAAATTTTCAAACACTAGAAATTGTTATTTATTGTTTTAAAATTTGGATTTTCTCATGGATTTATAATGTCATTTTATGCTATGGGGTTTTTCCGTTGATAAGTGTCGGCAGTATAGCAACCCTTCCCTATCAGTGAGGTATTTATAGCAACCCTTCGAGTCTTTTCTATTTATATACTGAAACGGTTGAGTATCAGTGAGGTATTACTATATGGTGCGATCTTGTTATATATGGTTTCCGTGGACAAATTAAGAAATGGTGTTCTTTGGATGGCATGTTGAATCAAATACAGCTATGGAGCCATGTAGCCATGGAATGTTGTTTCTCCTTTTCTTATGCAATCTGGAACCAAAAAAGAGCTATAGTTTGAAAATACTCAACCATTTCGAGCATCCCGTCATCGTTATTTTAGTATTATAATAAGTCATGATTTGTGACTGCGATCGTTTTTTCAACCGTTCGCGATTTAAAGCTATGCTTGACATTGCTACATTGGGGACTGGAAAATCCTCTTATGAATTGAATCCAAGAAAGGATAAGTTGTCTGAAAATAGGGCACTATCTCATTTGACAGAGAATTTCTTCACACCCTAGTTAGCTTAGTATGATCAGGTAGTTTTTAAACATTTAAAACTACGAAGGACTAATAGCTGTAACGCCTTCGTGGCGTAGCAGATTGCAATTGATACTCGTTTCATGTTTTGCTTATGAATTTCGTGTACTATTGCGGTGCCTCGAATCACACTTGTTTTGCCTGGCATTTCTGTTAGCTATCAAAACCAACCACTCTCCACGAGTTCTTGGTGATTACGGGATATGCAGAAAGACATTACTCCATTATAAATAGTTCGTGTAATAGTTACATAATTCTAGGCAAGAGATTTTAACTTGAGACCATAATTTTAAATAACGGCCGTTATATAACAGTTTCGGCCCTCTCAAAGAAGTGCTGCGTTGTTGAGAATAGACATTCACAGTGGGAAGAAATTCTATTAATTCGAAAGTTCAATGTTGAGATTGCAACATTTGCTTATTGTATTTTTCTTTTTTCATCTGAAGTAAACCTCGTCGCAGCAACTTGAGATTATTCAATGTCATGTACAAGATAATAACAAGATCAAGAGCTCAAACGAAATTGGTTTGAACTTTGCTTGCTAAATGCTCTCCATAAACAGCTTTTCCAAACTTCTTAACACCTCCAGTCTTCTCCTTACAAATATCTAAAGGCTCTATTGCTGCATCAAAGTTTGGCTGTTCATGCAACGAAGGCAGAGTGTGAGGGGTTATTTCCTAGAACAAGAGAAGACACAGAGAGGAGATATGGACTAACCTCATAGAAATAAGCTACACAGACCCGATATTTTGGCGAAGAATTGATAACTTGATGAAGAGTGGAATCATACAGACCATTAGACCAAATCTGCAGTTTAAAGAGGTTCATAATAATGACTGACTAGAAACCAAAGCAGACAAACATTTAGGTCCATTTTTGTCCAGAGTTGCATACCTTCAGCATATCTCCAATGTTGCATACAAATGTTCCCGGAATTGGAGGGGCAGATATCCACTCGCCAGACTGGTTTCGCACCTTCACCAATGAATCTAAATTAGGAAACAGGGAAAATAAAGTAGCTGGGATTTAAAACACCGGTATGAACTCAAAGTTTGAGGCAGCAGAGGTAGTTAGCCTAGATATAGTGATGCCTAAATTCCTTAGCAATATCAATGGTTCTACTTTTGGCTTTGGCTAACAGAAAAACGATCTCTTCCTTTTTCTTCTCTTTAATAAAGAAGGTTGTGGGCTGCACTCGTAACTGAAGCCACATTAAGCATTGCAAAAAGATATAACATGAGTTATTATAAGGAATTAGTTTTGCGGTTTGTTTATGGCTTGAAACCATTAGAGACATTTTCTATTGGTGTTCAAGCACATTTGATAATCCTAAAACCTCAAGGTCCATATATTTTGACTGGAATCATTGGTATGGAACAATAAAAACAAAACATATATACAGGAATTGTTTAAATTTCCAAAAAATAAATTGCCACAGCAGCCTTCTACAATCTTCAATTGTACTCATTATATGAGAAAAATGGAAAACAGTATGGTCACAGATTGAAATTTGAGAGCACCTCTAAGAGTGTAAACGGAAGTCCAAACAATTATCATCTCTATAAAGAGCATGATAAAGTCTGTAGCAAGTTGTGGACAGAATATTTTTTTCATTTGCAGTAGTCTTAAAATCTAGGGATTCAGAATTGATTTTTTTGTTAAACATATAACAGATCATAGTAAACAGTAGCTCTCCTTGAAATCAGGACTTTAATTGCATGATTTACCTGAAGTGCGGTAATACCGTCATCCTGATTGACCAATGTCACCAAACCTGTCATGCAACAATATACAATGAATTAATCCACAAATCAGATTTTATGAGCTAGTAACCAGCTTAAGGTTCATTAGCTTTACCATAGTCTGTGTGGGCTCCACTGTAATGATTTGCACAGAAGAATTGAGCAGAGGGCAGAAGAGAAGAAAAGCAGGCCAGCCTTTGCATTAGAGAAAGCAACTTAAGGGAGCAAAAAGCACCAAGAGTGATAAGATTGCTTACCATCCTATACTGGAAACACTGGGATAACCAATAATACGGAACACCCAAAATGCATCTCCAGCTCTCTCACCTTCAAACTCATCAGCTGATCCACCCAATGCCAGAGCGATTCCCCGCATAATTTTCCTAGACAGGTCTGTCAGCGCACAGAGAAACAGAGTTTCATACAGGTCAAAAGTGCGATAGATAAAGAGAAAGAATCCAAAAAATGCATGCCTGTGCAAAGGCTGATATATTCCTCCATCAGCTGTTTGAAATAAGGTGGATCATGTGGCCTGCAAAATAAAAAGAGAGAGAGAGAGAGTAGTGTTGAGAAGCAACCTAACATCCAACCAAAACAAACTCAACAACAGAATCAACATTAAGCTTTTACAATGAAAGCTAAAACATAAGGATCCACCATTAAAAGCTTTGCTGCAGTCAAACAAGAAGCTTGAAATAGAAAGCTTGCTAACATATAGCCAGTTTCACTAATACAAAAGCATCATCAATATATATTCATCAAAGGCATGTCAAATCTTGCTAGATTATGATGGTTAATCAACCAGTCAACCTCAAGTACTATTGTGACAATCACTTATTGGGATAAGAACCGAAAGTTTTGTGATACAAGGCAAGAGATATATAATAAGGGCGTTTGCCTGAAATCATTGGAAATTCTCATACCATTGATTAACTCCTTCCATGATCTTTCCAAGTGCTCCATACATTCCCGGTGTTATCTCGCGGTAACACTGCCCTCAAGAACGAAAAAGAAATAATAATCTTGTGAAAGAAAATGTAGAAGAGCAAGGGCAAGTGCAAAGCTAACATAACTTCATGCTACGAGAAAGAACTTCTAACTCCATCTCACATGTATGCCAACGTAACTATCTTCAGAAAATGGACACAAATAAAGAAACTAACATCAAGCCTGCGAAAGTTAATATTGGATAATTGGAAGAATTTGTCTGAACCAAATTGTAAGAACTTCTTTATAAACATGCTTAAGCTATGTCACTGACTGGTCGATTATGGTCCAGACAGATAATAAGAGCAAAGAATTTCAATATTGAATTGCATACGACCTTTGTTCCTTTTTTATACCATTTACACGTGTTTCTAGATAATTTAAGTACATATTTATATCATCATTTAAAGGTTCACATGCGTAGGATGGTACTGAATAACTAATACCTACATCGATGGCTTCATGCATATCAGCGATGCCTTTGGTTATGTTTTCTCCGATCCTCTGATATCCCCTGATTCAAAATGAGACCTCGCAATTTTGAATATAGTCTAGAATCCTATCATAAATCATAATCTGAAAGATATGGCAGGCGATTTCAAGAAGCAAACCTGTATCCAGCAGCCGCACTCAACTTGATTTTCAATTTTTCTTCATAGGGAAGATCAAAAAATTTGTGTGTGGCATTCCTAACCTCTTTAATAAGGGAATCAGGTATACCATGTCCTTTCTAATGAACCAAAGGTAACAGAACAACAAGAAAACCAATAAATAAGTCCAGAAAATAAACGAAGAATATTTCTTTCTGTATTTGTAGACAACACATCATATAGAGCAGAGGAAGGCCGTGTCTTTTTCCGATTCTAACGAGCATGGAAATGATCAAGGCAACACAATCTTTTTAAGAATTGCTATCCACAAAGGCAACATAAAAATGTGTTTGAGGCAGAATTATCCTTTTTCCCCCTCCCCCTCTTAGAAGACGGGAAGAAACGCCATTAAAGGATATTCATAGAGAGACCAAATTTAATTTCTAATGGTCCCATCATTAATTATAGCAATTCAACCAAACTATAAAGTACAAAACAAGCACAGAGAAAAAATATATATATAAAAAAGAGTACCACATAGAAAAATCCAGCTTCTCTACAAGCCTGGTCTAACTGTCTGACAACTTCACCAACATCTGGGTCTTGAACTCTCTTCGGATCATCACACTTTGCCACTAATGAACTAATATCTGCATAACACAAAAGAGAAACGAAGACAAGTAACGCAATCTTAAACTCGACAATTTCAAGGAAGAAAGCTTCGGATTTTCAGAACGATAATTAGAAATCCTGTTATGAAAATTGTAAGATATCGCATAGTCGTAGTAGATATTGTTGTGTAGAAAAGGAAAATGGGTCTTAATAAAAAGTAGAAAAGATTTGTATAACCGATAATTGGGATTGATTTGAAGTCGGTTGCCATGGTCAGTCTCTCAGTGATCGGTTAACTGAGCCAGAAAACAGACTTACTTCGACTTCAAAATGGTTTCTTTCTCTCTG